ATTTTTTTCTGGATTTTTTCGGTCATTTTTTAAATATTTTCAGGTCATCAAAATCCGGGCCCTGGTTATGACAATAGGTACCTTGGCCAAGATTCGAACCGAACACCTGAAGAATACAAATTCAAAGCCCCACCACAACAAGAACAACCTCGGTGTTGCTGGATTCGACTCCTGATGCATGCATTTGAGTTTCATGCAAGGAATATGTAACATTTAACTCACTGCTTGGCGCTAACGTTACATTTTTCACGCGTGTTTTTTTTTGGGGGGGGACTTTCTTTAAATGATTTCTGACTTTCTTCACAGAGGAATAAACAAAATATTTATTTAGTTTTTACGTAATTTAAAACACATTCTTTTCCCAATCCGTTATTAGTCACAGCTTTAGGCCACTGAGTCGGGATAACTCACTCATTATAGTGACTTAACTAAAGAGGAACCCGGGGTTCGATTCCTAGCAACATGTAGAAATTTATCTCGTTTTCGCAGTGTCCAGACCGGCTGTAGGGTCCACCCAACTTCCTATGAAGTGAATACAGCGAATCCTTTCCATGGGGGTGAAGTGGCCGGAGCGCAAAGCGGACATACTTCTGGGTGCCGAGGTTATGCATACATGGAGCTGTACCTTCACGCCCCCATATGCCTTCACCAGTAATCTAATGCTAGATGTACTCTCTTTTCCTGAACGAGGGGTTCGGAAAAATACGTGAATATTAAAGACAAGGACAATGTTTGGGGCGTACTAACAACGCAGTGTTGTTTGTTGTTATGTTGTTAGCTTATGTGCCCATTCCGAATGCCTTTGAGAAGTACATCAGGCGAATACCATATATGCACGACGAAGAATACGTCGGAACCAGATTGTCTGCCACGGAGAAATCCAAATTCCTCGTTCTGCCGTAAGTATGCTTTGTTTCTATGCTGCAGGGTCCCCAGATTTTTGTTTTTACAATACACTGCTTTACATACGGCAGTGCAAATTCATTGTGATATACAGAGTGACCCAAAAGACAGTTAACCTAAAATATTTTCGCGTAGTAACGGCAATCTTAAGATTTAAACCCTCCAATCAATTTGTAGAACGGTATCACAGTGTTGTGATCAAGTCAACGAGGATGAGATGGGCGGGGCATGAAGCACGAATGGGGAGAAAAGGAAAGCATATAGGACATTGGTGGGAAAGCCAGAAGGAAAGGGATCACTGGGAAGGCCAAGGCGTGGGTGGGTGGACAATATTAAAATTGATCTTAGAAAGATAGGATGGGATGGTGTGGATTGGATTGATCTGGCTCAGGATAGCGACCTGTGGAGGACTCCTATGAACACGGTAATGAACCTCCGGGTTCCATGAAATGCTGGGAAGTTCTTGAGTATCTGCACAACTAGCGGCTCCTCAAGAAGGGCTCAGCTACATGAGTGAGTGAGTGATCACAGCGCTGTGAGTTGTGCGCTGAATATGGAGGATCTCATTTCGAACAATTCTTGTAAACTCAGTGAGTGATAATGAAATTTCTAACGTATTTTATTATACAGTTTACTAACTAGTTAAGGGACTTTTGTGCCAACCTGCATGTAACCAGTGTCACCCAGCAAGTTGGCCGAAGCTGTAACGTCTGTGCCTTCTCTTAGGCAGGCGCCCGCTTTCAAGACTCATCCCGAAAACTGTCCCCTCTGTTTTCTCGTGGGTTTTCTCTTCTAGGCAAATGCCGGGGTAGTACCGTCAATTTTTCCACTACAACTTTCTCCCACATCCTTTCCAGTTCTTTCCTCTCCAATCAGCACTACGCCACAAGCTGGAAGGTCGCAGGTTCGATTCCCGATGAGGTCATTGGAATTTTAAATTGACCTAATCTTCCCGCCGCGCTATGCCCCTGGGTTCGACTCAGCTTCTAACAGAAATGAGTACCAGAAATCTTCCTGGGGGGTTAAGGTGTAACCGGCGCGTAAGGCTGTCATCCTCACCGTCATCTGTGAGCCGATTGTGGCATTCTGACAGCTTCGCTGAAGGAACTGAAGCCACTTCTACTTCGTGTAAAGGTGTTGTATTAAACAGATGAAGGATTAGAGTAAACAGAATTTGATTCCTTGGGCAACTTCTTTAAAAAAATTTTGTTGCTGTAACAAGCGGAGAGACTATGAAAGAGAAGGACCTCCCTTGTATGCGTTCACTTCTTGCACCTTCCGCAGTAACACGCTATATTTACCTCACCTAATGACCCTATGCGAAGTGAAGAGGGATTTCGATCGCGACCCTAAGGTCAAATGCCTCACTTGAGCAATGCCTATAATCCAAGTTACATTAAAGTAAATACAGATTACGCCATAATTGGCGTAATGGAGAATTGAGCGATATTGACCCTGTTGTAACGACAAGAGGAACGGAGATCACTTCCCATGAATTGATTCGAAACAATTGCGTATTCGTTGATATTGTAAAAACAACACTAAAGCTGGATTAGTTCGTTGTTGGTCTCTGACTGTACATTTGCAACTAGAAGCATATGTTTCCTCATTCGGTTATAATTGCGTCACAGTCTTTCAGATTACCTCATTCTTGTATGTGCCGCCATGTTGGCTACTAAGACGTCACAACCCAGATGACGTAATATCAATATGAACTGATACAAGAACCTCAACTCTCACATCAATAACGTAAGGATGTGTAGGAGATACAGTCTTAGATAAAAGTAGCGTTAAATTCCAATTTAACTAATATCTTTACTTTGCATGTCTTAAAAATAAAGTCAGAAGCGACGTAAGTGATAATTAGAGTCCTAAATTTAATGTAGGAGTTACTTACTTACTTACTTACTTACTTACTTACTCATGGAGCTGGGGCCGCTCCAGAGCTCAAGCGGTTAGTCGCTGGCTTTCCACCGCGGCGGCCCGGCTTTGATCCCGGGTCTGGTCAAGTGGGATTTGTGGTGGACAAAGTGGCGCTGGGGCAGGTTTTCTCCGAGTACTTCGGTTTCCCCTGCCAATCTTCATTCCACCAATTGCTCCACAATCACCCTCACCTATCATCTGGGGCTGGTACAATAGGCCAGAAGTGGCCGCAGTACAAGGGACTTAGTCCCACCCCACTAGCAATAAAAAAAATACTCATGAAGCTGAGCCCTTCTTGAGGAGCCGCCAATTCTGCAGCTACTCAAGAAATTCCCAGCATTTTATGGAACCCGAAGGTTCATTACCGTGTTCACAAGAGCCCTCTACTGGTCCCTATCGTGAACCAGAT